TTGACTGTGTAGATCACAACAAACTGTGGCTGACTCTGAGATGATTAGGAATCCCAGAACACTTGATTTGGCTTATACAAAACCTATACTTGGACCAGGAGGTAGTCATCAGAATAGAGCAAGGAAACACTGCCCTATTAAAAATTCAAAATTGGGAAGGGCGTATGCCAGGGATGTGTCCTATCTCCATACCTTTTCAATCTATATGCAGAACAGATTATCTGGGAAGCTGGACTTTGTGAGGAGAAATGTGATGTCAAGATTGGAGGAAGATTCATCAATGACCTGCTTTATGCAGATAACCCAACTCTGCTTGCTGAAACTGAGAAGGACCTACAGCACTTGCTACAGAAGGTCAAGGACTGCAGCCTTCAATATGGATTTGAAGCTCAACATCAAGAAAGCAAAGATTCTCACCAATGGACTGGTTGGCAGTATCAGAATAAATGGTGAAGAGATTCAGCTTGTACACAGCTTTAGTTTACTGGGCTCCATAATCAATACTCTTGGTATCAGCAGCCAGGAAATGAAAAGATGAATTACATTGGAAAATCTGCTGTCAGATACCTCTCCAAAGTATTGAAGAGCAACATGTCAGTCTGGAAACAAGGTGCACCTGATACAGGCCATAGTCTTCGCAATTACTTGCTATGCATCAGAAAACTGGAAAATGGCTAGGGATGATAGAAGGAGAATGATGTTTTTGAGCTGTGGTGCTGGAGAAGAGTATTGAATATACCACGGACTATTAGGAGAAGAATCAGATTCATCCTATAAAGGGTGAAACCAGGCAGCTCCTTGGAGGCAAGGATTCTGAAGCTTCATCTGACATACTTTGTACACATTGCAAGGAGGGACCAGTCCTTGGAGAAAGACATCATGTTTGGGAGGGTGGAGCGACAATGCAAGAGAAGAAGACCCTCGAAGATATGGATTGATTCAGTGACTGGGGTAATGGGGTTGAGTGTATCAGAGACAATAAAACTGGCACAGGATAGAACAGGGTTTAGGCTGTAATGCATAGGGTTACTATGAGTCACAGGCAACTCAATGGCACATAAAAACAACAACAGTGTTATCTTGAGTACCAATGAGTTTGGCAAAATAAAATAAGTAGAATGTTGCATAGCACTTGATCTCATATCATAGCTATTCAGTTGGAAGCAACTCATAGCTGATCTTCCATTGGCTTTCTAAGGCTGTAAGTCACAGGTAGGAAGGAGATGGAGCATCTTTCTCCCTCAGATCTACTGCAAGAACTCAAAACACACTAATATTTTCATATCTAATCGCATGTAAGTGTTTAAACTCTTTAAACCCTTATTATCGAGCTAGTGCTGAGATTTTAAATCCAACACAAAGGAATTCTGTAGCTTGGTCACTGCATGTTAAACATGTGGAGGACACTGTCTTTATATAACAGAATGCACCTGCTGTGCTGTTAGTTGTCATCAAGTTGATTCTGATTCCTGGTCACCCTAACACAAAAGAACTGTGTTTCAAGGCTACGGGGGTTTTTCAAAATAGATCACAGATCTGTCTGCTAATGTGCCTCTTTCTGGATTCAAACTGCCAACATTTTAATAGTTGAGGCTTTACTTGCCACAGGGACTTCATGATAAGTTTTCCTTACAAAAATGTATCTCAAATTCTGGCACTAAAGAGAGCCTTTTGTTAATGACAATTATCCCTGTTCATTCTGTTTGGCTTTGGTTTCGTGAATATTTAGGGCTGACTTTATGGTCAATTCATAAATCATTGTGATACTTTTTATTGTCATGCTTCTTTGTTTATCACTTCGGTTTATTTTATTTTTGTTACTTTCTAAACTTATTTGTTTATCTTCTACTGTTGTTGATTGCCTTCTAGTCGAGCATGACCCATAGTGACCTTATGAACAAAAGGCCTGAAGCCCCTCTACAAACAAAGTTCATAGAGTTTCTGGAGGCATGTTCTTTATGAAGTAGATGCCACTACTGCTTCCATATTTTCTACTAGACACCTTAATGATTTTTGAAAGTAGTCTAAATTTTCAAAATTATAAATAGGGTAAAGGATGACAAACTCAAATAGACTGATCATTATATTTGTGTGTGAAAGTGAGTCATGAAAGGTACCCAAATAGTATGTTTAACAGTTTGCTATAAAAGCTATGTCTATATCTTGGCAGTGTCATTAGTAGGATAAGATCCTCACATCACATGACATATATTTGCTCCTTTTATTCCATTACAAGAAATAAAAGAGGAAAGTACAATGAACAAATGCATACCTGAAGTCATTGAAGTCCAAGGCTGTCATTGTTTCCAGAACTGAAAATTGTTGTACCAAAAGTTTAAAGATCACTGCCACTCTGTGCATCCGAGTAACAACCTTGAGCATATTTCTTTCATCTCTGACCTGATATTTAAAAAAATAAAATACTGAGTTATCAATTGTAATTACCAAAGATGTAAAATAATCTATAACTAACAAAGCAGTCCTTTTCATTTTATCTTTGCTTTGCTTCTGTTTTTTATTGATTTTAATGATAGTTTACATAGCATATTAAGTTCCAATCTCTGTTTGCATCTTTAGGGAGCTCTGGTGTAGTCTGTAGGGAGTTATACTGCTAACCCAGATGGTAACAGATGGCGGATGGCATCCGCTGCTCTATGAGAGAAAGACTGGCAAACTCCTCTTGTGCTATGCACAGCCTCTGAAAATCTGATAGAGGTTCAGCCATGAGTCAGGTCCAACTTGACAGTAATGAGTTTGAGTTTGATCTTGACCTTTTTAACACTTTACAGTGATGTAAGTTGTACTTTTTCATAAGGTGTCATCACTTCTGCTATGTATATTGTAGTTATCTCCATTTAAAGGGGAATATTGTAGCTAACATATACCATCAGTTTATGCTAGATGATGTCAACTCTCAACTGTATCTATGTAATGGCTACAGAATGATAACTTTTTTTTTCCTTTGAAAAGCAGAACATTATATGGAAACAAGGTATAAATAAAGTCTTTAACACACTCTCACTGATTTCAAAGCAAGCTGTTCTGTTTGTTTTATTTCACAAAGGGTCAAAGGAACCTGTTAACTACTGGGTGAGTGTTACATAACACTTGAACAAAACATTTTAAGGACAAAACTGTTATTGACGCAAATGGAAGCTGTATTTACATACATAAGGGTAGGACAGTCTGTGTCTGTTTGTATCCTCTTGCCTAATCTATCCTGGAGCAAAGTCTGAGGTAAATGGTCTCAGGGAAACCAGGATTATGAGAGCAAACTACAGGATGTGAGAAAGAAGGCCACAGGTCAAACTTCTGCAATTTCCCTATCCTCTGTGTTGCTCTTCTGTCACTCTATTCTTCTAGCTTTGCTTGCTTGTTTTTCTTCTCTTATTTCTCTTCTTATCTTTCTATGCTTTTTCTTGTTCCTGGTACCATTTTTTTTAATTTATTTAACATATCTTGTTATTGATCCCATTTTGTCCCAAAGTGTATAACAAAACAAACAAAAATACCCAAACTCTCTGCCATAGGGCAAGTGCTTACTCATAGCTATCTTCGAACGGATTTCAAGTCTGAACATTTCAACAAAAAAGTGCCTTCCTAGGGAACTCTAGTGGCCTAGTGGCAATAAGTAGCACTGCAGTCCCTGAGGTACGTGGTTTGAATCCACCAGATGCTCTGCTGGAGAAGGGGGGGGGGGGCATATCCTCCTGTACCAGTCAGATTTGATTTAACGGTACACACAAAAAATAATAAGATAAAAATAAAAAACAAAAAGACCAAAAAAAATAGTACCTGCCTTTCTCCAAGCCTTTCTACCCCTAACTCCTGGAGTTAATACGTTTATAGTCTATACATAATACAGTTCTGTTATTTAGAAATGAAAAGATCATTAGTAGCCAGCTTGAATGTAACCATCCTTTTTAAGAGCATTTTTTAACAAAAAAATAAGTTGTGAATCTTAACCGAGGGGTTTGAAAATGAAATTTGAAAGTGAGTTCAAAGCATGGTGTAGTTGCAGGCTAGTGATGACACTGGGAAACCTGCTTAATTCACTGTCCACTCGCAGTGATGCCTTTCATTACTAAATAATAACTCTACAACTGGTGCTAACATGTGTGCTTTACTAAATATTTTCCACATTCTACCAAATATATAACAAACCAATATTGAGATATATTGACTTACATGACCATTCTGAAAGATCTCTCTAACAGAATCTAGTTCCCAGAGGATTTGTTTAAACCAGAGTTCATAAGCTGTAATAATAATAAAAAGAAAGTTTTGGTTGTTCTTTTGCTTTAGAGTGACATGAATTACATAACAAACAGAAATGATAATCAAGTTTGAAAATCAACAAAGTCCAATCTAATTCTACATTATTGTGTGATATAAACACTAATAATGAATTTGCAATGTCTTCTTTCTACTAGAGGCATAGAGTGCACTACATATTGCCTTGATAATTGAAAGGTTTACTCACTCATGACCCTCCATTGAGTTTAAGAGGTTGTAGGGAGTTTCACTGCTAATTTAAAGATCTTACCTCTGTATCAACAAAAAGTCTCCAGTGACGCCAGTGGAAGAAAGATAGGAAATCTCCTCCTTTATGGTTAATAGTCTTGGAAACTCAATGGAAGGTCAGATATGAATCTGTTCTGATCTAACAGAGGTGAAATTGTAATGGAGGGAGTTTGTTGGTCTTTATCCTGCTGAGCTTCTGGTGGGTTTGAATCTCCTTTGAGTTAGCAGCACAGCTCGCTCTGGAATACACCACCAGAACCACTTAGCTGAAAGCTGAAAGCTAAGTGGTTCAACTCCATCAGCTGCTCCATGGGAGAAAGAAGGGCAGTCTCCTCTGGAGAAGATTTACAGACTTGGAGGCTCCAAGGAAGTTCACTATGATTCCTCACTCACTCCATTGTATGGAATTTGACATTTTAAAAACATATGTCTAATTTAGGTCTTTTAACGATCAAGTACATGACCCAGTTCTAATTTTAACATGCAAACTATAAATGCATGGGAAAACAGGATTATATTATTTACCAAACCAAATAAAAAACTTCAGTGGTTTAAGACTGGAATTTCAAAGCTTTGTTTTAAAATGAGTATTGTGTTTATTTGTGAGCATCCTAACAATGTATACACACAGAATAGGTGAGAAAAGTGGGCAGATGATTGCAACTATACAATGGTGGCAAGAGTTTCTCTTTACTCTTGGTATTTCCCAAAGGCAACTTGATGGCCACTGATGCACTTGAACCCAAGGATACTTGTTTAAACTTGAATATAGCCAAAGCATTTGTGTTGAAATATCTATGAAGTCTTTTCTCTGAGTTTAATTTCCCTTATATTAAAGGCCATCTAAAAAAAATAAATAAAGGTCATCTAAACAATAAAATTGGAAACACAGAAGACTAGGATAGCAGTATATTGGAGAAAGAATAACTGAAAACAGATCACCAGAAATTACAATGTATTCTGGATTGAAAAAAAAATCATTTCCTTGAACTTCAGTTAGCTTCTTTGAAAAATGGCCCAACTGTTTGTACCTATGTACAAACAGAAGCTTAATATGTAAAATCAGAGATATTTTGACTGCTTTTAAACTTCTCATGAAGGGTATAAATATTTCCCATATATGTTGGCTTGGCTGCAGTAACTAGTACAGTGTCTGACATAAGGTAAGCACTGGCTTATAATTATAAATAAATAAGTTGACTAACCAATTAAGGAAGATTAGGAAGAAGAATTGGCCATCCACTTCCAAAATAACAGGCCTTCAAAAACCCTATACAGCACACTAAGAGTAGACTAGCAGATATGGCAAATGAGGTGAAGCCCTCAAATATGGATTAACTCAGTGACTAAGGTAATGGGGTGAGTCAGAGACAGTATGGTTGACTCAGGATAGAGCAGGGTTCAGAACTGTTGTACATAGGGTCACTATGAGTCGCAGGTGAGTCGACAGCACTTAACAACCACCATCACCACCAATGATGAGCACAGAAGTACAATAATCTTAGTGACTGTCTAGTGCATCTCACTTAAAATTGCCATTCAAGGTTATTATAGTTCTCTACTAATTAGGTAAATCCAGTAATACATATTTTGTTTAAAGATACTTTGAGGATGCTAATTTTTATATTTCTGCAAAGAGTAAATGAATTAATTGCCCATTAGTTTATGTAAACTATTTTTCAGTATTAACTTTCTGTATTAGAAACATCTCCCTATCCAAAAATGATAGCTACTCTTTGGCATATACTTATTATGTGCCATGTCATGAGCCAAACACATAATATACATTATCTTATCTTTCCATGATTTCTATGAAAATAAAGACAAAAATCTCCATTTTACAGACTAGGAAATGGAGGTTCTGAGACATTAAAAATATTCACAGACCACAGAGTTTATAATGACAGAGAGAAAGAATTCTGACATTTTCCGGTTCTTTAAATTTTCTATTTTCTGTACAGATTTATCTTGTCCCATTTATTTTTCCCTTGGTTTGCTATATAATGTATACTGTAACACTAAGCCATTTACTTTCCATTTTTAATAACTCAGAAATTAGTTTATCATTTTAGGTGCCCAGTAAGGCAAGCAACTAACTGAAGAAATTAAATCATTATTTATTGAATGAAAGGGGTCAAGTGAGTCAGTGGGTCCTGGTCAACAAGGACACTTATATTATGACACTAACAACTTTAAGGTAAATGTTCTCAGTATTTTGAGATCAAATCTTCTTTAAAACATATTTTCATGAAATTGTGCATATCATTTCAAAGAGTTCAGAGAAGTTATTAACCTCTAATTCTCTACTAGATTTACAATTACTGCTGAGAGAAGCTAGAAAACTAACTAGGGAAAACACACAATATTTTAAAAATTTATTATTTTTTTAAATATTACATTATAAAGCTATTCAAACTTCAAATTTTAGTAGAATATTAGGATTATAAAATATATACAAATGCATAAGAAATTTTGAATTTTTTCTTTTTTAAAAGAGCTTATTAATATTTCAAGTTAATAAATTATATTTTGGCTTTCAAATTATTTTTTTAAATGTTAATTTGTCCATTGGACAAAACTAAATTTCCACTTGACCAAATTATCAATGAAATGGAGTAAAGAAGATATAAAGTTATAAATCCTGGAAAGAAAGCCTGTGAGTATTTATAATAAAGGATTTCCAAACACTCCAAATGGTAATGAATTCTTTGATATTTTACCCACCAGTTTATAATAAAAAGGATTATGGCATTATTGACACAAAATTTCTGCAGAATAGTTATTCTTCAATACTTTGCATGGCTTACCTTGATGAGTTATAATAAAAAGATGTTCATCATGTATTTTATTTCCTTTCAATTCACTTTGAAGTTCTTGTGCATTCAAAACTTTTTCCAACTTTAAAATAAAAATAGAAACACTGGTTTTATAATGGCAGAGTTTGATTTATATCAACTTTAAAAGCAGAATAAACTACCAAAAAATCTCCAAGTTCTCAAATTTGAAAGCACCAATCTTTTTTATTGTTTGTGTTTTCAACTGTGTAAGAGTTACAATAAATAAAAAAATAAAGTTGAATTTATGATTTTTAATTTTACCGAAAAGGTATTTGATGGTTCTATCCTAACAAATGTTGTGATGCTCATTGAAAAGCTAAATGGTTCCTAGCATTTAAAAGAAAGAGAAATCCTGATCACATCGTCAGCTGTATCCCTTAGAGAGTCTACTCTGGGATTATTTTAATATTTTTCATCATTTCACATTTTAAATTCCCACCAATAAATGCAACAAGGTCTTTAATCATGTTTCTTCTTAAAAGAATGAAAAGAAAAATCGGCGGGTTTTCTTTGTTAGGTGTGATCAAGTTAAGTACGACTCATAGTGACTCCAGGAGCATCAGATTGAAATTCTGCCTTACTCCATCCCTACATCTTCACCATGTTCAAGCCCATTGTTGCAGTCATAAATTAGCATAAATGTATCAATATTAATTTATTAACATCTGTCTTTTGTTAACCAATGATTTCAAGAAAATTCTGGGTATGCTTATGTTATAGGGTTTTGGGGGGTTTCCCAGTATACATTTGCCTTTATCTAGGCTGGAATTTATTAACCAACTCATTTGTGCAAATTGTGCATCATATTCCTGTCAGCTTCACTGTATCTTGTCATTTATAATCTCTACCAAGAATCTCTAGAGACTAAAACGTCCCTGATCTGGGCCATGGTTTTCTCAATTACTTGCTATGCATCTGAGAGCTTTATTAATAGAGGTGACAGAATAAGAATCCATGCCTTTCAGTTGTGGTGCCAGAGAAACGTATTGAACATACCATGGACTGCCAAGAGGACACACAGACAGTGAATCCAGGTTGCCCATTGGAGGAAAGGATTTTGAGGAGAGGTCTGTCCTTGGAGAAGGACATCATGCTTGGAAGCATGGAGGGTCGGTCAATACAGGAGAGAGGAAGACACTGGGTTGACACAGTAACTGTGACAATGGGGCCGAATGTGTCAGAGACAATGAGGTTGGCTCAGGATAGGGCAAGATTCAGTTCTATTGTTCATAGATTTGTTATTAATTGACTGGATGGCACATAACAACGGGAAGTCTCTGGGGAGCTCTGGTGGCCTAGTGGTAAGGAGTTGTGTTGGCAACCCAAAGAAAGGTTCATGGTCAAAACCACCAGGTGCTCTGCAGGAGAAAGATGGGCGATCTCCTTCTGTGAGATTAACCGCCTCTGAAAACCAGCTGGAAAGTCAGCTAGGGTCAGTTCTGACTTGACAATATATAATAACCAACACTCTGGGTGCTCTATACTTACTGAACTTTGCTGTATAGAATTTTCACCTCTGTGTTTCCTAAATTTATCTAACAAAAGTTGAAACAATGTGAATTTCTATGAATTCTCTAGAGCTAGGAAATTATTTGGAAACTAAAAAATAAATAAGCAAAATAATGTAATTAGTACATTGTACTACTTACAGTAGTACAAATGTCATTTCATAAATGTCAGTGCCTACCAATAGAAGCTAACCCAGGAGTGCAACACTTACGTGCAGATAGTTCCCATAGATGAGTCCTCCTTTGCTGGCTTTGTTCACACCATCTTGTGATTTGTCTTCTTCACTGCCTTTCAGAGACAGTTGCTTAAAAGTATATCTGCAAAATTAAAAAAATAAAAAAAGATAAATGAAAAAAATGAACTTGAGAAAACAATTAACTAACAAGAGTACATAAAATTCTCTTATGACTATTTTTTCAGTGCAGACTAGAAATAAGTACATAAAGGTGATAATTTTCTATAGTCTTTAAATGCAGAAATTAAATCACTCATACTTCTCATTCCTAAGAGTCTAGTCATACTTAGAGTAGAGGTAAATACTTACCCAATGTTCTTTCCTAAAAATGGGCACCCACTCATGGCAAAAACTTCCTATCTGACAGCACCTTAGATCTGTCTCCTGGTAGATCCCATTGACTTCCCCGCTTTCCCAGCAGCTGCCTTTTATATATCTTGTTTCTCCTGCAACAACCAGTCAGCACTCTCTATGAACGCTTAACTAGGCTCTCACATTGGTACAGAATCTATCAACCTTAGAAAGTGGAATGTCTTGCCAAAGGTTTGTTTTCCAAAAAAGTGAGGTTACTCTGCCAAACTAAGTCATCTGACTTGTAAAATTTTGCTTCATAGCCAAATAAGCAAACTAAATAAATCAATATAGAACAATTAAAAAAAAAAAACACAAAACACACAACAACACAACTGAAAACCAAAGACTGGACCACTTAACTATTCATATTGAAGAACTAAATTGGCATATTGTTAAGACATGCAATGTCATGAGCTTGTAAAAATGAAATATTTATAACATTTAGATATTCTTTATATCTAATTCTTAATACCTTATTCAAACCAAGGTCTGAATTTTAATGTATCTGAGAAAACAAATTACTTGTGTAACAGATGTAGATACTAAAACAAGCTTGTCATCATTGAAGTGATGGTCTTTATGGTCTTTACAGAAGCAGTCTGATAACCTCTTTATTCAATTGAGCAGCTGTGAGATTGAAGCCAAGTACTTAACCACTTCACCACCAAGGGTCCTTATTCCCATGCTCAATATTCCCACTTCCGTTCTTCTCAACCAACTTTCATTTTAACATTATAACTCTTAAGCTTTCAACTTGCTACATTGGAATTTAAACTCAAGATAAAGATCTTTGATTGAATTGGAACCAACTCATAACTGACCCTCCATTGGATTTCTGAAGATGAGATGGCCCATCATTACCCCAGGAGCTGCAGGTGGATTAAACTCATAGAGTGGTAAGGTCTTTGAATTAGCATTGCAACTTCCTATGTCTGTTGTTCATAAAGTCAGACTCAACTCAATGGCACCTAACAACAATAACTGATTTATTATTATTATTATTATTATTATTAACAAGAGCTCCACCAGAATTTAAACAAGTGTTATTAATTTTCTTTTTTACCAGTTGTGTATAAAAGTCACTGCAGCAGGAGTCATATAGGCCAAAAGTATATTACCTGTAAAGAATTTGAAAACAAATTGTAAATAACAATTTTAAACAATTTCCTACAATCACAATCTTGGCACCAGCAGTCAGGAAATCAAAAGACAAATTGCATTGGGAAAGTCTGCTGTCAGGGACCTCTCTAGAGTACTGAAAAGCAGCGATGTTAGCCTGGAGGCTAAGCACCTGATCCAGGCCATGGTCTTAACAATTACTTGCTAAACATTAGAAAGCTGGAAAATTGCTTTGAATTGTGGAGCTGGAGAAGAATGTTGAACATACCATGGACCGTTGAAGAACAAACAGATCTGTTCTAGAGAGGGTGAATCTAGCTTGCTCTCTGGAGATAAGGATTTTGAGGCTCTGTGTCACATAGTTTAGGCATGTTGCCAGGAGTGACCAGTCCTTGGAAAGGGACAACATGCTTAGAAGGATGGAGAGACAATGCAGGAGAGGTAGACCCAGGAGGAGATGGACTGATTGACTGCGACTGAAGAAAATGATATTAGGTCTGTCAGAGAAATGAAATTGGCTGAGAGCAGGTTTCAGAGCTCATATACATAGGGTAACAATGAGTCACAGGTGACTTGATGGTAGGTACATAACAACAGAAGCCAATTTACTGATCAAAGTTCTAAATAATTACATAGAGACTGTTAAAGCTTTCATGAATAACCTTCGTCACATTGTTTGTAGTACAGCACTGTTGTTTTGTACCATCAAGTCAGAGCTATCCACAGCTGAACCTCTAGTGGGTTTTCAGAGGCAGTTAATCATACAATGGGAGGAGACTGTCCGTTCTTCTCCCGTAGAGCTGCTGGTGAATCCAAACTACGGGGGTTTGCAACACAGCTTCTTGCCATACTATTGTTGTTGTTGTTGTTGTTGTTAAGTTTCATCGAGTCATAGGTGACTTATAGCGACCCTATGAACAAAAGTCTTCGACCCTTGTGTGACTTTTGTCCTCTCTCCAGGTTCATAGGGTTTCCGGAGGCAAGTTAATTATGGAAGTGGACCCCACTCCTGCTTCCAAGCTTGTTTTAACTGGGGAGCCCCACCAAACACTGTCCACCATGGGTAACCACACTAGCACTCACTAAAACTTATACATATAGATATTTCTCATTTATTGCAATGTTGTGTTGCTGTCTAAAGTACTAATGTAATTTGGAATTAAGAACCTCTTTTCCAGTCTTGGCTCTGCCACTGATAAGCTGTGTCATATGGGGAAAATGATTTTATCTCTTTGTAGATAGCAGCTTCCTCACTAAAAGGATCCCTGGGGTGTATAAATAGTATACTATAATAATTACTTATAATTATT